GCCTGCCTCCCCACTGCCTACAGTTGAGTCCGTGCCAGTTCCCTCAAAAGGCAAACGGGAAGGAAATGCCGATTTGCTCTCTGACTGGCTCTGTTTCCTTAGCCGGGGCTCTTGGTACGTCTGTCTGCGGCAGCCTGTTTACTCCGAGGTTCTTCTAAACTTAAGGCTGCTATTGGAGCTTACATTTGGAATACAGTTTGCAGAAGGCGTGGATAACAGCAGACGCCCCAAATCCATTCGCAGGGTCCTCGTGTGGATCAAGCCTCCATGGAATTCCTCTGACCATTACCCTGGCATGCGAACCACCTTGTGGTGAAGCAGAGGACCTTTGAAAGTGGATTTCCTCCAGCCTCTCTGACCAGCTCAGGACAGGGCAGTGTCCCTTAGGGGCTTCCCTTATGGAGGGAGACGGCTCCACGGAGGTCGAAGAGTCAAGCCCTAACTGCCTTGGTCAGCAGGCCCTGGACCAATCTTGTAGAATCTTCTAACATAATGACTGTGTATCGATCCTGGCCCTGGTCCAGCTTCTGTAGCCCACCTGTCCTTGTGATGTATTGATCTACATCGTCAATCGCCGAGGAAAAGGGAACACTCCATGGTTACAGTCTCAGAAACACACAGGGACAGTTCTTCCCGGCCCTAAAGGGTCCGTATGAGGTCGAGTCGACGCGATGGCAGTGGTTTTGGCGGTGTGCTGGCTAGAAGGGCTTCTCTTGGTTGAGGCGCGTGACGTTAGCTGGTATTGATCTCTTGGGCACCTTGGGCTGCAAACTGCAAGGTCAGCAATTGAAAACCAGCAGCTACTCCACGGGAGAAAGACAGGGCTTTCTAGCCCCATGAAGAGCTGCAATCTCTTGTAGGACACGCGAACTATATGCCAAAGTGTTGGGAACAAAATAAATAAAAGGTGAAAGGGGAAGGAAAAAAGTAACATTCTAGGCAACTCAGAGGGGCCGTGCTACCTTGTCTGGTAGGGTCCCCCGTGAGTCAACATTGACTCCCTGGACAGCAGTGAGTTTCGAGCTTGATAAGGCCTGAGGGCCAGGCATCCCCCAGCCCCGGTTTAAAGTTGATGCTATGATTATGCAGCTCCCTGGGTGGGGAAAGCTATTGGCCGCTGATCTAAGAGCTGGTGGTCTGGACGGGGTCAGCAGCTCCCCAGGAGGAAAGTGTTGGCCAATGGCCTGTGTGATGGTGGCAGCCAAAAGAACCCTCATGCAGCAGTGCAGCTCTGTCACGTTGCCCTGAATCCAAATCCACTCCAGGACGATCGCTTTGGTTGATGGGTTGACCATAGTTCTGGGGATGCTGCAGGTTAGGCACTGGGCTGGAAGGTTGGTGCTTCAAACCCCTCAGGGGCTCTTCCGGAGAAAGATGAGGTTACCTGCTCTTGTGAGATGGACAGCCTTGGAACCCCGAGTCTATAAGGTCATTCGGAGTTGGAAGTGACTCAGAGGCAGTGGGTTTGGATTTGGATGGATAGTTCTACAGAATCCCTGGTGGAGCGGTGGATTAAGCAGTAGGAGGCTGAGCTGGGTTGGAGCCCACCAGCTGCTTTCTGGGAAGCAATCAAGGTTGAAAGCCAGACGGAGCAGCTCTGCTCCGGCCAGGAGTTGAAACTGACTCCACGGGAATGGAGGTGGCTTTGCTGAGAGTTCTTTGGGGAACATTGGGGAAACACAATGATGACCACCCCATGCAGTTGTCCTTTCCATTTTCTGGGCTCTATTTCAAAATAAAATGTGTTGCCCTTATTCGTAAAAACCTCCTTTTCCACTTCCTTTCTGCTCCCAACAAGCGAATTGCCCTCAAGTCAATTCCAACTCATGGTAACCCCGCATGCTGCAGAGTAGAAAGAACCGGAGCCCACGGTGTTTTCATGGCTGTCACCTCTCGGAAGCGCAACACCAGGCTTTGCTTCCAAGGCTCATCTGGGTGGAGATGAGCCACCTCTGGGTGGGATTGAACCACCCACCTTTCAGTTAGTCGTCACTCACCATTTGTGCGCCACTCACGAACCCAAACCCAACCCGCTGCCATTGAGCAGATTCCAAATCACAGCAAGCCTCTAGGACAGAGTCCAACCACCCCAGAGGGTTTCCAGGGCTGTAAATCATTACGGAGGCAGGCAGGCTCATCATTCTCCTGTAGAGGGGCCCAGTGAGTTCGACGAGCAATCCAACACTTAACCCACTGTGCCATCAGGACTTCTCTTCTCCCCCCCAAGCCACCTCCACCTCCAGGCCGTATCAGCATCCTCCTGGGACTTGCAGCCATTTTCTCTCTGTTCTTTTCCCACCCAGATCCCTCAGACTCTCTGAGACTCCCAACTTTGTCCTTATTTTTCCTTTTAACAACCATCGAAGGCTCGCTTGCCTCTGCTCGATGGATTCAGCATTCACAACTTTTCCATTCCAACCTGATCTGTCACCTTCGTTTTCTGGTGCTCCGACCCGGGGTCCCTCACTCTCAGGTCCTTGCTGCACGCCAATTCCTGTAACGCCCTTTCTCTTCCTATTCCCCACTGAAACCCTTTCCAACAATAACAGCCCTGGGCATAATGGGTGACGGGTTAGGCTACTTCACGGTAAGGTGAGCACTTCAAAGCACCACCTGGTCCTCCATTGAAAGATGAGGCTTTCTGCTCCATTAAAGAGTTACAGTTTGGAAACCCACAGGGGCATTTCTACCTTGTCCTCTAGGGTCGTTAGGAGTTGGAATCGATTTGATAACAGTGAAGTTTTCATTTTTTTTTTACATTCATCTACCTTCTGGTTACTTTTTTTTTTCTTTTCTGGTTACTTTTTTAACATCTCGATTATTCAAATTTATTTGCTAGCTAGAACCAACAGTTTTATTGGCATTTAATTCACATCTCATACAATTCAGTAGTTCCATCATAGTAAGAGTTGTACGATCATTTTTATTTTGTTTTGGAGTAACGGCCAAATGAATTCGCCCTGATACTAATAAGACGTTCCCATGCGTCAATGGGATCACCAGTCCCAGCTCCTTGGAAAGACCCAGAGCGGTGAGGGCCTTAGTATCACC